ACTTTTCACATTTGTAATCATTTAATCACTTCTTTCTTTACATTTTAAAGTGAACCTGGGGAAAAAAGAATGAACCTGGCCTATTTGGATACCTATGGTACCCTCAGTATCCACATGGTTCATATGTGCTGCTCACTAATTAAATGAATGTAACTATTTCCAAAGACCTCTGATTGCTGATTATTACAGATATTGTACCAAAGCCTTGCTAAGCAGGGTGTTCCCTGATGGCAGGGGTTATGTCAGAGTCTTCTCTTTCTTCCACAGTTTTTTGGTGGGCACACGGAGCATCTGGTAGGCACAAGGAGCACTCTGGGAACCTTTAGAAGGAATTGGGAAATCCCACTAGTCCTCAGCCATGCCTCTGGGACCTGCTGACAGCTCAGTAGTTTCCCCAGGCCACAGCCATGTGAAGACAAGAAAGTCTGCACCCCATCTTCTAGGGAGTGTGTTCCTGGTTAGATTCCTACTTCCTGATGTCCACAATGATGAATGTGCACTTACTAGACTCCAAATGCCCCTTGTCTCAGCCCAACACAGAGTCTCCAAGCCAGGCATAACTCTTGTTCTAGAAGAAAATCCCACTCCTGAGCCAGCGAAAAGCAAACCATCTGGAAAACTGGAAATAGAACACAGAAGATTCACTTAAACCCCCAGTCTGCAACTGTATATTTTTGTAGTCCTTTCTGGAGTGTGTGTGTGTGTGTGTGTGTGTGTGGATTAGAATCATGATATGTGTACTATTTAAGGTTCTCTTCTTTCCAACAAATTCAATAAAGCAAAAGTTCAGTGGTTAAAGGCACAGGCCCTTATAGCTGATTCCATGAGTCCAAATCTGGTTTGTGTTATATGATCTAAAACAACTCAACAAACTGAACTGTCCATTTTACCACTCTGTAATATAGGGATGATAGTAGTTAGGATTAAATGAGTAAATATATTTATATTAGGACATGTAAGGCACTTAGAAAAATATCTGATGTTACTAACTCATAGTATTTTTATACTACTACACAATCTTCATTTTTAATAGCTGCAAAATATTCTACTGAGTGTCTACACCAGCCGATTTAATCATTATTCGTTTGTTAGATGTTAGGTTATTTCCAGCCACTTTGCATTACAAATAACATTTTCTTAAATGTCCTAGAACATATATTTCTAATTTTTTATACACAGATTCCCAGAAGAAGTATGAAGTCAAAGGACATGAACATTTTATGCCTTGGTCTGTACCAGGAAATAGTTTTCCAAAAAAAGGATTGTAGCCCTTCAAAATGCAAAGTGTGTTGGAACATTTTAGTTTTTACTGCTCCCTCACCAGCCCTAGAAAATATTAGGTTTTTTTAAAATTTGTGCAAATTCAACAAGCCATAAATAGCCTCACTTTAATTTCCTTTTCTTTGCCCATCATGGAAATTTAACATTGCCAACTGTGATTAGGTTTTATTATGAACTCTATCAGTCAAGGTCTACACCACTTGCTTTGACAGAGAAAATTAAATAAAGAATTGTCAATTATGTATTAAGGAATTGAAAAGCAGAAAAGAAGCACTAAGTATCTGCTGCCACCCCTGAGGCTGAAGGAACAAAGGAAAGAGGAGGTGGCAGCCCGCTGGCATTGGTGTCTTGGGGTGGGGTTGGGGATGCTTGCTATGAGGGTAAGTAATGGACAACCTGCAGACTGGACTCAACTGCTGATGTGGAGTGGCAGAACCAAGGGTTCTCAGTTGAGTTTCAATATGAAATGAATAAGAAAAACTTTCTTAGAATATGCATGCTAATGTTGCAAGGGTATGCTTGTACTAAAAAATTACTTGTTTACCTAAAATTCAAATTTTACTAAGTGTCCTACATTTTACCTGGCAACTGAGGCAATGCAGAAAAAGTGTCCTCACTACCCCACATCTAGCTTTCCAGTCTCCCTCTGGTGCCAAATCCCAGCACAGAGCCAGTTGGCAAAGTTGAACAGGGTTTGCAGATCAAACAGTGTAAGAGAAAGGTATATTTGGAGCTGAAAAACAATTACCCCATAAGTGGCACAGTTCACCTTTTTTGGCTCTCATTAGAATCCATGCACATTATTCTACACATTCGTACTCCCAGACAACAAAAACTACTCTAACAAAATGCAACTATCTCCAAGAAATGAAGACATTTTCACCTTCTCCCCAAAAAGGGATGAGACAGTTTCAATAGTCATTTTATTCATTACTGGAAGATAGTCATACTCTTCATCTTCTGGGAAGGATTAACCACTCTTAAAATTCAGTTATAGTCACACTTATAAATTCAGTTACTCAAATATTAAAGCAAAGAAGTAAACCTCCAACCAAATGTGTATAACATAATAAAGGGAAGGGAGAGGGAGAAGAAATTATCTAATCTATACCATTGTTATAGTTACATAAGAATGAAGGAAGAAATATGCATGACTGCTACATTTCTTATTTTTTTAACTAGAAGTGAGGCCATAGCTGATTTCTATAAATTTCTTCCTCAACCTCCTATTCCGTGTTTTTTTGTTGTTGTTGGTTTTGTTTTGTTTGGTTTTGTTTTGTTCTCAGAGAGGACCTCAGCTAGCCAGGGTCCTCAGTCTTTACCCAGTAGGTAAAAACTTACCCTCAGTTTTAAGACCTCTGAATCTTCAGTATTCCTGCTTCTCTTGAGTTGCAATAGTATTCATTGATATTTACTATTGAGCATGGAAATACTAAGACACACCTCAGAGGATCCCCTCAGTGCCAGATGTACTCCTTCCTGCCCCAGATTTCCTGTTGGTTACCAGGAGCAATCACTACACCTAGATCAAAAACCTCTTTGTTTTCCCACTGGTGTAGTGGTATAAAGAGTTCCAAATGGTCAAGTGGTGGTTCTCAACTCCTGATTCAACATGCTGTGTATCCTAGTATAAGTACTTCTCTCTTGGAAACTAAAACCTTCAATCCAGTGAGACACAAAGGTGAAAATACAGGAAACAAAAATTCTGCAAGTGGATTATTAGGGAAAATTGGGTCACTTTCACTTCCAGATTCATGTATTCTGAGAAAGAACCCAATATATTGTTTGCTAAATCAGATTATATATTGTATCTTTTAAGATAGAACATCATCTGTAGAGGGTGTTGCCTCAACCCAACTCTTTCTCCTTGGTCAGCTGGCCACTCTACTGATCTATTAGGTCAGCTGCTTCTAAGTGGTTGGGTATACATGAAGACCGGTGAATTCCTTGAGCATGAGCCTTCTATTGCACTTCTTTTACTGTGAAATTAATTTCTTTATTATAGAAGCCTTGTTTGGATTATAACAGGATGATGAATAAGTGTTCCAAACATCTACAGATGATGATACTGGCAGCAGCATGATAGACAAGGAGAGAAGTTCCTCTCTGGACTAGCTATGTATTCCAATGCTTGTCTGTGATGGAAGGAGTCCAAGTTAACCAGCCATCCACCAGATGGATATCAGAAGTTCAACTTGGGTCTCTGCCATTGACAAGTTAGTCACTCAGCAGTATCAGTAACAGATCAGCATTGGTAAAAGGAAATCCATGCATAGTCTCAATCCTTGGCCACCATGTCTACTTTGTATGTAAGCCCATTAGGCAAACCCTAGGTGGCTGGGGAAAGATGCTGGCAAGCTCACATTTAGAGAACATAACATTTTATCTGCTAGGTGATTGAGAAACTATTCTTATTACATCCTTTGGTGAGTTTTCACATGAGGCATAGGTCTCGTCACACTCTATTCCTATTCAAGAGATCATCCTCACACCACTTCCCAGAACCATTCATCACCAATCTTATTTTTTTAAATATTTGGACTCATATTTATTTGATTATAGGGATTTTCCCTCTAATTTTTGTGGTAAATACACATAAGATTTGACATTTAAACACTTTCAAATGTACAGTTGAATAATATTAAATATATTTAAGGTTATGCAATCATCACTATTATCCACATCCAGAACTCTTTTCATCTTGTAAAATGAAATTCTATGCCAGATAATGATTCCCCACTCCCCAGTCATCACCAATCTTATAATTTTGTTCTCTCCAAGTCCCTGACCACCCATCTCAACCATTAACAACTGATCATGAATCAAAAGAGATCCAGGGGATGGGGATTAGCTCAGTGATAAAGCACTTGCCTAGTATGTATGCAGCCATAGGTTTAATCCCCAGCACCCCAAAAAAATAAAAGTAGAACTAGACATCTTTTGGATCAAAGAGAACAACCAGATTTACCATTGAAGTCATGTCTGTCCACTGCCCTTTGCCATTATCCTTTATATCCACCTGTGAAGCTGCAACCTGACACTTAGTTGGTGACAATATAGCATTAAGAACAATCTATAAACTGAGCCTAAGGTTTTTTCCTTCCTGGACTATAGTCTAAAAAATTCCCAATAAGTCCTTAGATGTGGACTGAGGGAGAGGAAGTGATACAGCAGTGGTTTTATCAAGTCTCAACCACCTGCTCATGCAACTTACTTGTTCCTTCTGGGCATACTCAAGCCATTTGTTGATGATGTGCTACCCGATACAACTAACCTTATGATTTGGTGGAAAAGATGGGCAGCTCAGGACATATGGTCTCTTAATGTCTGATAGTTAGGCTGTCCTCTCATTTTAAAAGATGTCTTTGTCCACTTAACCTTTAAAGCATTCTGGAGACTTACACTTCCTTTTGTCATCTATTAAATTATGTTTATCCTGTTATTTCATTTATGGACAATGGCAGTAGCAGAACCTGGCTATCTGATCATCTCTCTTGCAGTCAAGAAACAATTAAGGATCTGCCCATCAGAAGAAGAACAGTTATCTACAAAAGAGGGCATGGCTTTAGGCTTTCATGCCTTTAGGCTTGACATACATAAGGGTTGAAAAAAGTTGTTTCTTCTTGCACAGGTCCTAAGTGTTGTAAACTCTGTCAAGGGTCTTCTCTTGGAGGTTGGGAGCCAATGGCCAGAGTTGATCACAGTCCACTCTCTTGCAGGCACAGCCTCTGTGGCTGTGGCAGGGATCCTGGCTGCTCTGAGAATCACCAAGAACAAGCTCTCCAATCATGTGTTTGTTTTCCAAGGTGCAGGTGAGGTAGGTGCCACGGGGCGGGGGGGGGGGGAGGTCTCTACTGTTGTTGCAGTTGAAAAATAAGAATGCATAGAAGAGACTCAAGAAGGGTGGTGTTCCGTGGTTCAGTATATTCTGATCATCTCAGCTGCCTGAACCTCAACAATTGAATTTATCAATGCAAGAACTTACCTGGGCCTCCTGGGAGTCATGGGGCTATAGGAAAGAATAAGGGCTTATTTTGGTGAGATATCTGATCCATGCTGAGCAGCTATTTCCCCTGTGTCTAAACATTTTCTTTATGGTACCTCTCAGGCAGCTATGGGCATCGCCCACCTTCTTGTCATGGCCTTGGAGAAAGAAGGTGTACCCAAGGCAGAGGCCACAAGGAAGATCTGGATGGTGGACTCCAAGGGACTGATTGTCAAGGTACTGTCAGTCTGGAGACCTGAAAGTTTCCCAAGAACTAAACTTGAAGAGTTCCCTAAGGGGTGAAGTTCTCAGAATAGAGAAGGAGAGCAATGGCAATGGCCTAACCTCCAAAACAAAAGATTCATCCCAAAGTAGCCTTAATTGCTCTTGTTCAGACATTCTGAATTTGTGTGGGTGACTGTGTATGTGTGCTCCTTCCAGCCTTACCTCCCACTACTCCTGCCTTGCACTAACCTTCAGCCATATTGAATGGTAGTTCTCCAAAAGTCACACATTCCTCTCTTCCACATCCTTGCACATTTGTTCTGCCTGAAATGTTCTTCTCCCTTTTTCCAAATACCCACTCTCAATCCCCCTTCATAGTTTCCTCCTTACCTTCTGATTGAACTCAAATATTAGCTAGTCCAGGAAGCTTTCTGAGAGCATTAGGTTTTTTCCTTACATCTCTGCTCACATAGGCATTCCCCTTCCATGGGCTGCACCCACCACTTTATAAAACAGATGCTTTTTACTTGTCCACTAAGCTACGTAGTCTTGATGCCAATGCCTGGCACCTGGTAAGCACATAATTAATGTAACTAATGTGTGATGTAGGAGTGAAAGAATGAGAGAGAGAAACAGCTCAGTTTCTGACTAGAATGTGGAGAGGGACACAACTAGATGACCTCTCTCCCTTAGAGCTTGACTCATAGCTTCATCTTTTAATTTCCAGAATTCCACTAGCATGGAATGTCAGTGAGAGATGAAAAACAATGAGCATTGTAGGAATGGAGAAGTGCATAGGATCATATACCAAGAATAGCAAATACCCTCCTCAGAAACTGGCCTTCCTATAGAGCCAGATCACTGCCGTAGAAACTTAGGCCTGAAGATTCCTCCTCCCACTCTATATCATTCCAGAGCATAATCAGTCACAAGTATAGGTTGCCAAAGCTTGCCACACTTGACCATTTTTCACCATCATTTGGTTCACCCCATGGAGCTCACCCCTGACCAAGGAACTCTCAAAGCTGACATAGTCTCTCTGTTTCTCATGAGGCCAGCTGGTCCAAAGGAGTCATCAGAAATGTTTGTGCTCATTTATTAGTAATCATGCCAGCCTGTCCCCCAAGGACCTCTATTTGGGAAAATGGAAGAAATATAGAGTCAGTCAGCTATTCCAAGCCTGTTCTGGAACTCAGCTTAATATTATTCACAGGGAGGTTAATGACTCATATAAAATACATTCACACTAGCTCCATGAAGAAGAAGGGTTCAACATACGGAAAACAGAAACAAGCTATCATTACTGCCCCAAACCCATCCTTAAACTCAAACTTCTGGTTTTCTTCCTGGCTCCAGTGCCAAGGATCTTTGGTCCTGGATGGCTCAAGCCCCTATCCGTCAAGTGGGCCGGGTCCTGGATGTCTTGGGGCAAAGGGACTTGGTCAGACTCAGGTATTTCCTTAGAAGCTTTTTGTTCTGACCCAGCTCAAAGAAATGCCTTGTGAATTCTCCTGATGTGGTTTGGGTTAAAGAAAAACACACACACACACACACACACACACTACATGTTAGGCTTTACTGGGAAATCTGATCAAGAGGTCAGGCCCTAAGACTTCTGAAAGATCAAATTTATGGGGCTCAGCAGGGAATGCTCTCAGAGTTTCCAAAAGCATTCTTGCCCCTGCCCAACAGGTTCTCAGCACCACAACTTTTTCATGAACCTTTTTTTCCTGTAGGGGAGAAGCCACCTGAACCATGAGAAAGAAATGTTTGCCCAAGACCATCCTGAAGTGAACTCCCTGGAGGAGGTGGTGAGGCTGGTGAAGCCCACAGCCATCATAGGTAGGAAGATGCAGGTGATATGCTGTCTAGCCCAACTAACTCTATTGACTTGCAGATGGAGAGACTGAGGCTTATCCAGGAGACATAAGTAACTTGTAGAAATGCAGCTCTATCCCCAATTCAATGCCACAGACTTCTATGGAGAAACTACTATATAAAACCATAGAACTAAGCTACCAGAGTTGGGGCTTATATAGTATAGTAGAAAAGTGCAGGGCTGATATCTCTAACCCAGATGAGATGAGCTTTCCCCCAACCAAGGCAGAGATCCTAGTATTTCTCCTTGTCACTAAAAGAGCAACCCATTTTGAATGGCAAAGCCCAATAACATCTTCAAGATGCATCTAAATGGCAGGGAAGTCGACCAGTAGTCCCTTAAAGATGAACAGGAGGCTTCAGGCAATTCAAGCAAGAAGACGCTCTTCCCTTCTTCTCTCTCAATCCCATTGGCACATGCTATCCCCAAGACTCCTGAGCCTTACATGGTACACCTAGTTTCCCCAGGAGAGGAATGGGTTATTAATGAAGAGTAGGTATCCCCACTACCCCACTTTTCCCTGTAGGTGTTGCTGCCATCGCAGGAGCCTTCACGGAGCAGATTCTGAGGGACATGGCCTCCTTCCACGAGCGCCCTATCATCTTTGCCCTGAGCAATCCCACCAGCAAGGCCGAGTGCACAGCTGAGAAGTGCTACCGGGTCACCGAGGTCAGCGGGGAGTCCTTCCTTCCCCCAGCTGAGAGGACATAGTAACAATAACCATAAGTAACCCTTTGAGGGTGAAAAAAATCCTCATCATCAGTAAACTGAGGTTCAGAAAGATGAAGTAACTTGCCCACAGTTACAGAGCGAATAAGGAATAGAGCCGGTCCTCAAACCCAGCTCTAACTCCAAAGCTCTTACAATTAGGCAATGCTGGACAAGTTTCCCCTAAATAACATGAAGCTTTGGCCAGAATCCAAGGTTCTTATAAACTCTAGGATACTTTCATGTCTGTCATGTTCTGGGTTGGCCTTCTCAGGAGATGACAGGTAAAAAGGATACGATGAACTCCATCATCTATCAGCAATTTCTTGGCTGTCAGATAAATTGGGTGGGGGACTGAGCTTTCTAGTCAAATGAATAAACATGCTTTGAGTACTTGCCATGTTCTCAGCACAATGCTGGGCATTTGGGAAAGGATGAAGAAGGGTTCAACATATGGAAGACAAGAACAAGTTATCATTACTGCCCCAAACCCATCTCTAAACTCCAACCTCTGGTTTTTTTCCTGGGTCCAGGGCCGAGGGATCTTTGCCAGTGGAAGTCCTTTTAAGAGTGTGACTCTGGAAGATGGAAAAACATTCATTCCTGGGCAGGGAAATAATGCCTATGTGTTCCCTGGAGTGGCACTGGGAGTCATTGCCGGCGGGATCCGGCACATCCCTGATGAGGTCTTCCTCCTAACAGCAGAGGTATCTTGTCCTTGCTCCTTTGAATGCTTTCAACAGAGCCTGGGGGTTAACACTAAGTCCTACACTGGGTCTCTAAAGATTCCTCCTCTTTTTGTCTCTTCGACCTGCATTCTCCAAACCCTGGCAATGGATCCCCAAAGTACTTAAACCTCAGGCATCTCTCTAGATTATCTCAGGCTTGACCTTCTTTCCAATTGCATGCAGGCTTTTGAAGACGGATGGGAAGTAGTTGGAGGAAGAGCTATTGTCAGAAGGAACTAGCAGTGAAGGGACATATCTAGTACTGTTCCCCACCTCCCAGCGTGTCATCTAGATGCCTAGATAGAGATGTAACTAAAGGTACCTGAAACTGGGGACTTGTGAACCATGACATGTCTTGTCATTGATCACCTGCGCTGCAATGCCACATTCATTGGTTACATCACTGGGGTAACTGGCAACAGTTAGCCCCACTAGGACACTTTCAGCAAGAAGCAGGTGGAATTCTGAGCACTGTTATAGGGGTCTTGGGGATATACCTGTTCTGAGCATCATACAAGAAAAAGCCCCAGAAGGGTTCTTTACTGGAAGAAATGGTTTCTTTACAATGAGAAAATTCATTAAGGATGACATTTCACATTTATAATAATGGTTATGAATAACAATTACATTGCTGACATTATCAAATAACCTGCACTTGACATTTATTCTCACTCTAAAGAATCCATTGCCTAGAAATGTTTCTCTTTTTTTTTTTTTTTTTTTTTGAGAGAGAGAGAATTTTTTTAATATTTATTTTTTAGTTTTTGGTGGACACAACATCTTTATTTTATGTGGTGCTGAGGATCGAACCCAGCGCCCTGTGCATACCAGGCGAGCACGTTACCTCTTGAGCCACATCCCCAGCCCTAGAAATGTTTCTCTTGAGTAGAGGAGGATTAAATTAATCAAAGATATATATAAATATTAAATATATTTATATTTCTAACCTGTAAAAAATTTATATTTCTAACCTCCTCTGGAATTCCTTCTCACCATGGCACTGGTAAAAAAAAGTTTAAGCCAATGAGGCATGAGAACTGCTTCCATGAATCTCTGTCCAGATCCACCCTATGAGTCCCACAGGGAACTGTACCACATCCTAGGTCCCTTTTTACTGTGTCTTGTCATTGATCACCTGCGCTGCAAGGCCATAAAGTAAAGTTCCCTGAAGAATTTTAAGCCACCTCCCATGCTATGCACACCAGTTATGACCTTGAGCAGCACCTATCCCAGGGTAGACTGTACCCACCACTCTCTGTCCATCTTGTCTGAATAACTTGCATTCATATTTCCTCCTATTGCTGTAATGGGTGTTCTTGTCTTATGACTGTGGGCAGAGCTGTTTGAAATCCCCTTTGGATGAGAAGAGTCACTCTTGCTTAAAGACAGACTACAAGTAAATTTCCTTGTTGTGCAGAAACATAGTTGCTATAGCCTTTCCTATAGGACCCTGAGACATCTGCACACCCAATACCCTGTGCCATGGAATACTTCAACTCCCTCATTTCATGATGAGTGTCCATTGATTTTACAGGAAACTCTTCTCAATCTACTCATTAAGCATCTGCTGTGAGCAGGATAAACTTTCTCACTTTTTTGTTTGTTTGTTTGTTTTTGTACCAAGGATTGAACCCAGGGATTCTTAACCACTGACCAACATCCCCTTGCATTTTTTTGTGAGAAAGGCTCATTAAGTTGCTTAGTGTTCCACTAAGTTGCTGCGGCTGGCCTCAAACTTAAGATTCTCCTGCCTCAGCTTCCCAAGGCACTAGGATTACAGGCATGAGCCACCATGCCCAGCTCAGGTCCCTCACTTTTAAGAGCTGACAGTCCTATCTTCAAAGCTCTGACAGTGTATATTTCTGAAAAAGATGTTTTTCATTAAGACATTTTATGTTGAGGGCTGGGGTTGTAGCTCAGTGGGTAGAGCACTTGCCTAGCACATGCGAGGCCCTGGGTTCAATCCTCAGCATCACATAAAAATAAATAAATAAAATACAGGTATTGTGTCCAACTACAACTAAAAAATAAATATAAAAAAAGAAAATTTATGTTGAATTTTATTTTCCTATGGAAAATTAAACAGGAAGAGAAAGGGTGAGAACATACTACCACACTCCAAAGACCCCCAGAACATCTGTTCACCACCGGCTGTCCTCAAAATTACATTCCTCTTAATTAGCTATATTTCCTCCTAAAAAGCATGGAAATGTGAAGGATTTATAGATGAAATCAACTAACCTATATATGTTACTTTATACCAGAAGAAACCAAGTACCAAAGCCATTAAATTAATAGGCCAAAATCATACACAGGTAAGATGATATAAAATGGTAGGATCTAATTTTCCACCTTTACCACAGGATAAAGCACACTTGTTTGAATATCTGTGGGTGTGAAAACTACCCATTTCTCCTCATTTACACATAAACACCTTTAAAAAAAACCTCAGTTAATGTTTTATTTTTCTTAATTCATATCTCTTTAATGCCTGAAACTAGCTTAAAGAAAATAAAGAGCTTGTAAACAAAATAAGAAAGAAAATTAATATAGATTTTAGGAGATTTACATGCATTGCCTCATTTCATCTTAACAATTCTGTAAAACTAAGTATAGAGTGTATCCTTATATTATAGACAAGGAATATGCGGCATAGAGACTTTAAGGAACTTTCCCAAGATCTCTAGGCTTGTGAGCCATAGCACTAGGATGGCCCAGGCTTACTTGACATTATGCTGCAAGATGTTACCAGTGCCCAGCACCTTAGAAGTGCCCATAATAGCATGATCTATCTCTTCACAGGACAAGTTTTCTATATGCAGATCTAGTCATGGCAATCCTGTTTCTTTCTAACCAATCCATCTTCTGTACCTCCACAAAGAGAACACTTCAAAACACAGATCAGGCCAAATCTCCTCTAATTTCATACCTTCGTATGGCTCTGTTTTAGTCATCATTTTTGCTGCTACAACAGAAAGACTTGACCAGAACAACTGTAGTGGAGGAAAAGTTTATTTGGGGCCTCATAGTTTCAGAGGTCTCAATCCATAGACAGCAGGCTCCATTCCTTGGGGCTCAAGGTGAAGCAGAACAACATGGTGTAAGAGTGTGGTGAAGGGAAGTGGCTCGCATGACCATCAAGAAGCAGATTAGGAAGAGGTCTCTACTTGCCAGATACAAATATATACCCCAAAGCCACACCCCTAATTCCCACCTCCTCCAGCTACCCTACCATTTCAGTTACCACTCAGTTAATCCCTATCAGGGCATTAATTCACTGGTTGGGTTAAGACTCTCACAACCCAATCACTTCTCTTCTGAAACTTCTTACATTGTCTCACATGTGAGTTTTGGGGGGACACCTCACATCCAAACCATAACAGGCTTCTTGAATTTATAGAATAATATTCAAACCTTTTCCTGTGGTTTTCATACAAGGTACTTCATCACCAGGCCCTCCTTTACTCTTCTGCCTTTCTTGTAGCCTCTCCCTATCATCAGACCCATCCAGCGTGCCTTTTTCAGCCTCAGGTCCTTGCTCTCTCACCTACAATTATTTGCATATAATTTATACTTTCATGTATCTCCTCTTTTCCACTAATTCCTATTTAGTCCATCATCTGTCAGTCTCTGACACTTCCTCTAGGAAGCTCTTCCTGCATAGCACATGAGACTCTGTCTTCCTCTTTGTCTTTAGGCCCTCTCTCATTGCACTCCCCACTATAATTGTTAGAATTGTTTCTATTTGCCTTCTATGAGCAGTCTCTGTGAGGGAAAAGTCTTTTCACCTTGTGTCCTCAGCATCTAGCACAGAGCTCATCAGATTGTAGAGCTCAGTGAATGTGTGCCTGAATGAATGGGAATGGGGGAGACTCACTCCTTTGAAATAATGTCTGCAAACTCTAAGGTGAGATCAACTCCATTGCCCTGTCACTTCACGGACAAACAGTTCTCAGAGAACACAAGGAATCTTCTCAAATTTAAATTGGACACAAGAAGATAAGGTAGGAGTATTTTCAAAGATACTCATTTAAAAAGCTGACCTGTGAGGCTGGCTGGGCACCAGAACCTGAGGCTGGAAGGCTTGCAGAGGTTTCGTGCCATTCACTCACTGGAGAAAAGGCCTTCCTCAGTCTGAGACTATGGCTGGGAGAGTTTATGGAGCCCTGAATACAGTAATGTTCCTTAGATGGGCACCCAGGATGGTACCAAACATGGGGAAGAGGCTGGAAGCAAGGAAGCGAGAAACTTAGGATCTTTGTACAATAGACTGGATGAACCAAGAAGAAATCCCTTAGTCTTTGCTTTGCAAGCCATGATTTATTCATCTTAGTCTTAGTAATTTTCCTTTAGAATTCAAAAATCCCCATGTTTTAAGCCTCAACCAGTCTCACAGTACAGAAAAGTTTTGTCCTTGTTTAAGGCTAAGCATTAAGCTCCCTTGGTGCCACATGGCAGCAGAGTTAACAGTAGGAACTGCAGCATTTGACCACATGTGCAGGATTGGGTGAATCTCTGAGGTAATGGGTTGACCTTGTTCTTTGAAAGCAGAAACTCAGCTTATTCCTTTTGGTTCTCTCCCTCTCTCTAGCAAATTGCCCAGGAGGTCTCTGAGCAGCACCTATCCCAAGGGAGACTGTACCCACCACTCAGCACCATCAGAGATGTATCTCTGAGAATCGCCATCAAAGTAAGAGGCATCTTACACCTATAAATGGGGAGTGATGCACAAACACTTTCTCTTTATGAAACACTTTAGAAAGACAAGGAGACAGCAGTTCTGGAGATATACTTAGCTCCTCGGGCTGCATTGCATACAACCCAGAGGGTGGCTAACAAACTCCTGCCTGAAGCCTGCCCAGGCCAGTTCTGGAAAGCTCCTGGATTTCCCTTCAAAACAGCGGACAGAAAAGTCACCAAAGCCCATGGTCTTGTGTGCCAGAACGTGGGTGGAATTTTTTTTTAATGAATCATAATCACCCATTTATAAGAAAGGTCAGCTTGCATTACGTGAGGAAAAGGGCTTGTGCCTTGGGGTCCCAGCTTTGTGAATCAACAGTGAAGCAAGCTTGGCCCAATCACTTCACTTCCCTGAACCTCAGTTTCCTCCTTTTCCAAAGAGGTCAGTAATGCCTGTCTCCCAAAATTCTAGAAAAGATTGATAGAGGACAGTAATAAAGCTCCATACCCAGTGCCTGCCTGGCCAGAGGAGATGTTTATTCTTCCCCTCTCAGAATGACTGGGCCATAGAGTAATCATGGTCATGGAATATTCCAGACTATGAGACTATGAAGGGTGATGGATTTCAAAGAATGAGAGCACAGTCCAGTAAATACTGGCCCCAGATGATAATAGTTGACAGTGGATAGCGAATAATTAAGGGTTTAATATGCTATTATTTCTGTTAGTGCATATGTTTTTCTATAATTTTTAAAAATAATTTTAAAAAGTGCATTGCATAACAGTACACAGTCTCAAAGAGTTGTTCAGTGCAGGGTTTTCCCTCATTTAGTTCCTTCCTTTGAGGGGATATTTAGATCCACATTCTCCTGAAGCCAAATCTAATACCCAGAGAAGGTGTTCAGGATGTTCATCCAGTTCAACCTCCATCCAAAACAAAATTTGGTAATTTTATCCTCACACAACTCCAGATAAAAGCATCATTCCCTCACTTTACAGATAAGGAAACTGAGGCTCAGCAAGGATAATAACATGGCTAGGGACTCGTGGGCAGATACAAGCAAGCAGAATTTAGTCTGGGCCTCTTGACCCTGGCCCAGTATTTATTCCACTATGTCAAAGCTGCCTGCTTAGGCAGAAAGCTTAAAATCCTTTCTATCCAGTGGTTTCATAGGCCAAACTCATGAGAGGAACATGATTGGCTAATCGGAATGTATCCTGCCACCCCAGGCTCTCAAGCAAGGGCCTTTAGGCAGGTTTTTCCTTAGATCCAGTTCTTCAATCACATATGTTTTTCCCTAGGTCCTGGACTATGCCTACAAACACAACCTGGCTTCCTGCTACCCGGAGCCTGAGAACAAGGAGGCTTTCATAAGATCCCTCATCTACACTCCAGACTATGACTCATTTACACTGGACAGCTACAGTTGGCCCAAGGAAGCCATGAATTTTCAGACAGTCTGATGAGTCTCAGGGGCTGGTATGGGGCTGGATGAAGCCCAAAGTAACACCCACAATATAAATGGGTTCCAAAATGGTCATCCTTGTCATTGTGTGTGTGCGTGCGTGTGTGTGTGTGTGTGTGTGTGTGTATTTTTCCTTTGAGTATTCTGATGTAAGGGGAGATGCTGAGGCATACAATGAATGACAAGCCTTGTGCCTAAAGGTCCTGGGAGTTCACTTTCCTATGACCCTTTTCAGAATTCTTTCCCAAGCATTTCTTCATCCACTAATTGCCAACTATTATCTAGGCCTGGTGGCAAATACCGAATCCTGCCTAGAATCCCATGTTTATAGAGCTCAGGACCTAGTGGAGAAATTGAACACAAATCATTTTCCCCATAAAAGAGAAAGTACTAAGCCCATGAAAAATGTGCAGGTAGAAGTCAAGGGTGCTCACAGAAGGGAGAAAATACTTCCCATGAGCACATAGGCTCAGGGGGATGGAAGCAGTTTTTTGCACTGAGTCCCAACAGTGAAGGATGGGTGGGAGTCATGGTGAGATGAGGAATGTAAGCACAGTCACTAGCCAGAAAATGTGGCCCACCCATTAGTTCTTGCCAGAGGGACTGAACACTGCCTTCAAGAGTCAGCAGGGTATGAGGGCTGAGTAACTGGAAGTAGTTCTAGTTCACTAGCTAGTCAGGAATGGTCACTGCCCAATAGACTGTTGGGTAATAAACATTCTTTTTTGGTTACTACTAAAAGAAAAACCAGAGAAATGTGGGTGTGGAGGGTCAGCATGCCAGTGAGTGAGGAGGAAGAGAGGCAATGAGGGGAGAGTGCAATGGGAAGTTCTAAGGAACTTCATTTTCCTGGCTTGGGAATGCACTCTCTCTTCCATCCTTTACACTCTGAAATAATTGAGCAATCCGTAACAGCTTTCCTATAGAGGTGATGTCAGACTGTCCTAGGTATTTCTTTTTTCTGGTTTTGTTTTTTGTTTGTTTGTTTTTGTTTGTTTTTTTGCAGGTACCAGGGATTGAATTCAGGGACACTTGACCACTGAGCCACATCCCCAGCCCTATTTTGTATTTTATTTATTTTTTAAAATGTGTTTTTTCTAATTTGTTGTCCTAGGTATTTCTTAGACCAAGTTCAGCACTAACCACTTCCCTCATGTCCAGCAAAGCCCACACCATAGGAAATAAGGATGAGATAAGAGGTTGCAGACCCTGCTAAGATCTATGGGGATAGCAGCTTCCAATCTCTAATTTCTTTGTATAAATCACCTTTAGAAACCTGCCTCTACTACCACCTCAGCCTTAGGATCCCCACTTCCCACAAGGAGTAAGTCCTACATGACCACCATTAGCTTTGCTAATTACTCTTCTAGAAGCATAGTAGTCCACCTTGCTTGTCACTGAGATCACCTCTTTCTCAAATTTTATTCTGCTTAACATATGCTTCCTTGGTTCTGGTGCTCAGCCAAGAATATCCTAAGAAATTATCCCTCCTCTATGATTCCTGAGCTCACACAGAATGAGAAACTATTCAGGAGAGAAGAATGAAACCAAAATCTAAACTTCAGAGAACTATTTACACTATCTTTTTTGCCATCATGTCCCAAACACCCACAAGGTTTTTGTCTGTTTGTTTTGCAGAAATTGACAAGATGATCCTAATATATATATATATATATATATATATATATATATATATATATATGGAAATGCAAAGAACCAAGAATAGCCACATTTTAAAAAGAAAAAGAACAAAGTACACTATTTGCTTTCAAAACTTACACAATTGTACAATGATCAAGACTGTGTGGACATATAAATGAAAAAGAACTGATAGTTTGCAAATAGTCCTTAAAGTTATGGTAAATTGATTTTTCATCAAAGCTACTGAGATAATTTGATAGGAAAAGGAGAGTCCTTTGAAAAAATGATGCTGAAGCAACTGTATATCCACATGAAAATAGGAAAGAAAAACTTTAGACACCTCACACCACACACAAAAATTAACTTGAAATGGATAGTAAACCTATATGTAAAAGCTGAAATTATAAATTTCTTGAAGTAAATAAAGTAGAAAATCCTTGGGACTTGAATTGAGGAGAGTTCTTAGATGTTATTTTAAAAGCATGATTCATAAAATGAAAAGTGGTATATGTCACCAAAATTTAAAATTTCTGCACTTTGAAGCATAGCATTAAGAAAAAAAACAGCAGAGTAGGAGAAAATATTTCCAATTCATGTATCTAATATAGGCATTAGATCCGTAATTTATAAAGAACACTTACAACTCAATGATAATCCAGTTTTTTAAAATGGGCAAAATATGTGTGTATGGCTAACAAGCACATGAACAGATCATTACTCAAATGAAAACTAAAACCAAAATGGAATACCATTCCACAGACACCACAATGGTTATCATTTAAAAAATAATAATGTATTGAGGTTGTGGAGAAATTGGAATTTCTTCCAGTGTTCTCTCTTAAGCACTATGAAATTAAGGGAATTTTCATTCTAGCTCCTCAGCTTCTGATACATAGCCCTAGAACTCAACAAGTGTTGTAATATAATGGATGCTGTGGTGGCACCACTAAGGTCTGAAATTCTCATAACCCCACTTAAATCACTAGCTGAGAGCTCACAGCTGCATCCCTCTCTGGGAATTGCTCTTACTTAGCTAAAGGAAGATGCTTCCCCCAAGGTTATGCCATCATTCCCAGTTGTGGCCTGCATCCATTGAAGGGCTGATTCTAAAGTTCAAAGGACCTCAGTTGCAGATGTCTCTAAGTAGCCATCCCATTTGCAGAGCTCCCCATGAAAGGGAATGAACTGTAACTATGTATCAACCATTCAACTTCCTAAACCCACTCTGCTTCTCTCAATCCCTTCACAGGTGTTATCTCTGAAAAGACTCCCCAATAAATCTCTGAATGCAAATCTGAGATTCAGTGTCTGTTTCCTGAGGAACTCAACTTAAAACAGATAGAAGAAACCAGTCAGGCTTTTCAAATTTCCAATTTTTCTGCACTAGTACCACATGACCAAAAGCTTTGCTAGATTTCTCTTTACCTCAGGAGAGAACTTCTGCATAAACCAAGCCTGATCCTTTTTAGTCCATGTCCAGAATCAGTAAATAATGCAGAAAAGAAATTTTTCCTGAGGTGGATTACCTCGGGAAGGTTCCTCCCTCTCTGGAATTCCTAGTCACCTAGTCCTAATTGCTTTCATAGCTCTCACATATCTTTAAATCTGAGTTTTGTAATTTTTCCACATTTTTCTGGTTGTTGCAGTGTGCGCCTTGGGCTTCCATAATGTAATAAAGCCTAACTAGAAGTGAAAGTCTCTAGACATGGATTTTTCAAAATTACAAATGTATGGATTTGGTTTTTGTTATTGTTTTTTGGAGGTGTGCTGAGGATTGAACCTAAGGCCTTGTGCACGTGAGGAAAGCACTTTACTGTGGGAAGCCATCCTGACACGTGACTGGGCAACTCCCGTTAAGGGTCTGAGGCTTCTGGCTGTGTCGGAATTTTCCCGGCCCTTTCCTGATGAGAGAACCCGTCCGTGTGGGGGTGTGACTGACCACTGACCCCGGGGGCCCAATCACTGACCCTGACCTTGGAGTGCAGTCCCCCCTCAACCTTCATTGGATGAAATTATCCCCTGAATTTCTTGTTCCCCAATAAAAGGCTACTCCCTGGCGTGTTCACTCTCTCTCTCTCCTGCTAGCCCTGAGTAATCCTTGCTGCCCTGCTGGGCGGTTAGAGGTTGGAGCCAGAGAGGGGAGCCGTCTCGGACCTGGCAATAGAAATAAGGTAACTGAGTCTGTGTGTTTTATTTCAATCTCTTCTAACTAACTTTATGCCAAGAACCTCATTAATGAAACCATTGCGCAGGACGCATGGTGGACTTTACCAACTGAGTTATACCTGCAGCCCTTTCTTATTTAATTGACTGATGGTCCGAAAAGTTATTCTGAATCATTCAAATATTTTGAAATTTGCTTACAAATTTAATATTTTTTTAATATTTCATATATCTTTTAAAAAGAACACATTCGCATACTGTTGAATGCAATGCTCCTTCAATATTCATGGGATCAAACTTACTGGTTTGTTCAAATCTACATCCTTACTGATTTTTGTCTACTTGTTTCTGAAAGTTATAGTAAAGTTTCCCACTGCTATGGTAAACTTTTTCTATTTTCCCTATACTATTCTCCATATTTGCTTTATGTATTTTGGATTAATGTTATTAGATGCATAAAGTTTAGAAATGTTGTAATTTCTCATGAATTCAAACTCTTGAAGCTTTCAGTAATGATTTTCTTCATATCTAGAAATGCATTTGCTGCTACTTTTACCATTAACATACCTATGTCATCTTAAAGTCTTTCTCTTGCAATTCTTTATTTAGATATATAAACTCTTGTACTAGCTGACAAGTTATTTCTCCCACAGAACTCTACCATTTATTCCAAGACAGTATGAAAATATGGTTGTACTAACATTAAAACACATCACCATTTTATCAATATCATAATAAAAGTAATTATCAAGTATCCCAATATTATAGTTCAAAAAGCATATAAAATTTTAAAGTTCTAATTAATTCATTAATAGAAATCTACTTTTTTTGTTGGGAAGACAAGGAAAAATATCACAGTTCAAACTAAAATAATAGTTAATAAGTAACTTCCAATGGGTATGGGGAAGAATTACAAGATTTTCAGAAATTTTATAATTAAGCATTGTTTACCTTTTCTTTTTAACTAAAGAGCCTACTGTCTACTTCCTATACAAGACAAAGGCAACATTTACTAGAAATATTTCATATTCTCCTCCCATTCTGTCTGTCTTCAGGTCCCCAGTACAGGCATCCCAAATGTAAACATTTACTATAAAGCTTCTTTATCTTAAGACATTAAACATATATGCTTCTGTACAATGTGGATTTTGCATGAACTTTTAACCAGAAGTTGATTTTCCAAAATGGAGGTTTTCATAACATAAAATGAGATCTACAGAGACATAAAATAATCACCATGAGACTTGGTAATAATTGAACAAAATTGTTGCACAAATCTGATGTATACCCATACACAAGTGAGGTGGTAAGCATAAAGAAGCAAGCAAATAATTATATAGACCCTACTTGCAATGTTGAAATAACTGAAGGAATAAATCACATAAGGTCTAGAGTGCTTATAGTTCCTGGGATTTTAATTCTGTGTAACTAAAAATATACAAGTATTGTGCTGAGTATCTTGGTACCTCATATCTCACTAAATTTCTTATATATTGTTTCTGGCATGGGATAGTAGTAAGAAAAACAGAGGTTGCAATTTTGTCAAGCTTGTGGCTTTTCAATTTTCCTATGGAAGCTTCATTAGACTTATATTCACTAAGCCTATATGATGACTAACATGTACGATAAATTAAGTCCTGTCTCAAGCTCCACTTTCAAGGCAATGGCATCAGCCAGCCAAGTTTTATTGAACGCAACAGTTGTTTCTGTGACCATTGGAGTCTTTGAAGCGCAGCCGCATTTTAGAACGATATTTCTCCAAATATAAAAGTTGCTTGCTGTTAAAAGCTCCACGCCGCTTTTGTCTTATAAACTGTACTGCATCTTCATTTTTCATTCCACTTTCAATTAATGCTAAGGCAACAAGCACTGGAGTTCGCCCAAGACCTGCAACACAGTGAACGGCAATACAACAACCAGGTTCTTCACGAAATTTAATGTTTACAAGACTTAACCAGTCATCAACAATCTGGTTGGATGGTGAGGAACCATCATCAAAAGGCCAATCTAGAACCTGGATGCCTTCTTTCTCCATAAGAGCAGTGTCATAAGTTGCTTCACACACTCTTACTATTGTTGTAACTCCATATTTCTTAAGTTCCTCTATAAATCTGTTTAAGGTTGCACTGGTCGGGTTGTGTGTAATAAGAAATCTCATGTTCCTGTATGTGACTTCCACAGGAGCTGGGCGATTCATTGGAGCCATGTTAATCTAGTTTTTCAAAAGTCACGGAAAAAAAATTACAATTTTTTGAATACAGTATTGGTGTCAGGAAACTGAAGTCTACTCCAACGTACTCCAGATGAAATTCTCAGCGCTCAGAATATGAAGTTGGGAGTGACAGGAAACGAAAGGAACCTCCTAACAAGCCACAGCAGCTCTTCAAGTCCTTAAAACGGAGTCAATAGAAAGGAAGTGCACGGAGGTTTTACCCCATCCAGTCAGAACTCTTGTAAAATGCTCAGATGACTTCAGCACTTCTGTGTCCAGGTTACTGGCTTCCACTAGGGCTTCCTGCCGGAGTGGTAATATCTTCCTACAGTTCACTTGTCCTCATAAAGGTCGTGCTGTGCCTGGCAGTAATCTCCAGGGCCCTTCAGAAACTCCATAAATGCGTGACCAAGAACACCACAGAAAAGAATATGTTTACTCATGAAAAATTGTGGCCTAATCATACAGCCAGTCCCGTGGCGGGGACACAGGCGGCAGCGGCGGCTGCAGGCCCAGAAGCGGTAATGAGCGTCGCGGGGCGGCGGCGACGGCGGGACACCTAGCTCTACCCTGGCGGAGCGGCTCGGAAGAAAAGCCTCGAGGGAGGCAGTGAGCGCGCGCCCAGACGGCCCTGCGTCACAAGCCCTCCCTTTTATAGCCGGCGCGACGTGCGAACGCCCGCACCAATCGCGGTCGAGCGGACCGAGAGCCAATGAGCGAGACCCGTCCCCCCCACCCTGCAAACGTCACCACGGCCGCTGCTCGGTGAACCTGTGCGGAAGGAGAAGCGCCCAACCTGCATTGTCTCCTGCTCCTGGCAGGAAAGAGTGGCGCAAAAGGACGCAGGGAGGTGGGGCCGAGTTTGGAAGAGGCTGAAGAGAAACGTGGGTGACAGGAAGAGAAGATTCCCAGCTACGGAGTCTGTCAGCTTCGTGTTTTGACTATCTCTTGGGAACGTTTAAGCTTTTTTTTTTTTTTTTTTAAGTCTGACAAACTTTGTGTTTAAACTAAAATATTTAGTTATCATTTTTGCCCTATTGTTTAGTAATGTTTAGTAGTGGTAGTAGCGGCTGCAGGTTATCAGAGCCCACGAGGAGTAGACAGTATTCCCTACTAAACATGTAGGGACAGCAGTAGTGATCAGAGATTACCCACGAGTTCTTCAAGTACGACGTGAAAAATAATAGGAATCGGATTTTTTACTGTCAGAAGCAGGAGTTACAAATATGGAAAGGAAAAAAAGTAGAATTAATTCTGATCTTAGATTGAAATTCGTGGTATCAGTGTGGATTCCCATTTTAGAGATGGGAATAGAAATATTGTGTGTGTGTGTGTGTACGTTTGTGAATTCCTTAACTTCCTCTACAGCAAATAAAGAGGGCCTGAAGCAATGACCGTCCCATAGCAATGAACACAAGTACTGCCCCATCGTGATTTTTAAATACCACTTTCTATTAAAAAATTACAAGTCTCCGTGGAGAAATCATTGAGTCCAGACCCGGGGCAAGGAAAGTACAAGAGTAGCCCTGAAAATCTTGTTATGACAGAAAGTAAGGAAGTATTCAAGAATGAACGGAATATGAAAAACAGACATACAAAACAGACCATAAGAGGCTATGGAGACATGACAGCTGTAATGTGGTATACTGGATGCAATCTTAGAATAGTACAAGGACATTAGGGAAAAGTAATGAAATCTGAAGTGTAAAATTTAGTTAATAGTTCAATTTCTTTAATTGTGACAAATGTATCATAGTAATATAAGCTGTTAACAATAGGGAAAAATGGATTAGTATATAAGAAACTCTCTTAATATCATTGCTACATTTCTGTTTATCTAAAACATCATAAAAGCCAGCTTAAAGGGCTCCCACTGGACAGATCTCTATCTAAAAATTATAGGAATGGATTATATCTCATCAAAATAAAACAAATCCATGAATCCATACTGATATAAATGAGAGAAACAAAAGCTTTGCCTTACAGTAGAATGTAAACTAAATAAATATAGCAGAAATGGTGGAATTAGAAAAATGTTTATTTAGCAATCATAAAGAGTGTCATTTGTTTAGCACAGAAACATCACTTATGTAAGACTAGGGGTGAAAGTTGATGTGAAATTGGATATTTGTTTTCATAAATGCCTACCACCAAAAAAACTAATTTGTCACCAAAGAAAAAAACCAAAACAGTGGGAAAACTTACAGACACAAGCCTTAAATGATCAAAGTTAAGATAACCAGTACCAAGACAAACTGAATTGTGTACCTCCTGAGAGGATGGAGTACAAGGAACATAGCATCACATCTGTGATATTCCTGCCCAAAAATATGTTCCTGGAATTTATGAGAAAAAAAATCAGATAAATCCAAATTGAACTGTAATCTTTGAGAGTGTCAACAATGAAAGTCAAGGAAAACTTGAGGAACCGTTCCAGGTTGACAGAGATTAAAGAGCTATGACTACTAAATGTAATATGTGATTATTTTGCTTAAAGGATGTTATTGGGAAAATTAGCAAAACTTCAATGGACTCTGGATTATATAGTACTAATGAATCTATGTTAATTCTATCATGGTTCAGAGGAGAACGCCCTTATTTGTAAGACATGTATCCTGAGGTACTCAGGAGTAATGAAAGATACATCAGACACTTGCTCCCATATAGTTCTGAGGGAGAAATTATTTTTACTATTTTGAATACTCTTTGTAAGGTTGAAATGAACGTTTATCTTTTAGCATTAATTTTTTAAAAAATGTCTAGGTCCAGTAAAATGAACTGGACATAACATTCCTATGTTCATATATGAATCCCACAACCAGTGTAACCTCATATCATGTACTACCACAAGAATGGGAAGTTATACTCCATGTATGTATAATATGTCAAAATACATTCTACTGTCATGTACAACTAAAAAGAACAAATTTTTTAAAAGCTCTAGGTCATAAGAAATCAGCTGATACTCTCTTTTCTGGACTCTTGCTCTCATTTTTTGCCTGTTTCTGGAGACTTTTCTTGAAGCTTTACATTTTTAAAATATTTTAGCCAACATTATTAAATATCTTGTAGCTCCCTTTCCCCATAATTTCATATTATGGTGGATGGACAGTTGCCACTACAAGCTATTTTTTCCTAAATTTGACTTGAATTCCCTAAATGTTCCACTGGACACAGGCTATTGAGCTAAATACTCATTTCCCAAACTTCCTTTGAAGTGTGGTGTGCCCATGTGACTAAGTTCTGTCCAAAGAGACACAGTAAGAAATAGGGGGATTCCTTCCAGATCATACTCCTAAAAGAAACTCCCACGTGCTCTCTAGCCCCCGCCTCTCTTTTGCTTTCTTTCAGCCATGAAGTGAGCAGCTTTGTTCTACCATGCACGCCCCACCATGATGTACTGCCTCACCAAAGGCCCCGAAATCAATGGAACCAACTAAGCATGGAAACTGAGCCAAAATAAACCTTTCCTCCTTTTAAGTTACTTGTCTCAAGTCGTTTGTCACAGTAACAGAAATCAAACACAAATGGACACAGATAATATGGGGTATATATATACACATGATGGAGTATTATTCTCCATAATGAATGAAGTTCTGTCAATTGCAGCAAGATGAATTGAAGTAGAGGAAATTACATTAAAATAAGCTAGACATGGAAAGAAAATAGCATATGTTCTCTCTCATATGTACTGTAGAAGCTAAAAAATGTAGAATAGTAATTACTAGAGATTGGAAAGGGTGGAAAATAGGAGGTAGGATCTGGTCAGTGCATGCTGGATGCATGTATGAAAATGTCACACCAAAATCTATTAGTATGTACAATTAATACATATTAATCAAAAATTTAAAGCTGGGTATGATGGGTCATAAGGAGGCTGCAGCAGGAAATCACTTGAGCCCAGTAGTTCAAGGTCATGGTGAATAGCATAGCAAAACACCATCTCCAAAATAAGTTTTTTTAAAAAAAATCAATAAGTCTGAACACTTATTAATAGAAATTCATATTTGAAAAAGAGAGAAAAGGGGGTGAAAATAATGAGTAAAACCTCAGAGACCTTTTGGACTATATTAAAAAGTTTTGTAATTCATCAACGTCCCTAAATGAGGGAAGAAAGATACTGGAATAATTCCAAAATTTAGTGAAAGACAAATTAATTAAAAAAACTCAGTGTGCTCTAACATAATAAACTTTTTAAAAGCCACACCAGGGGCTAGGGTTGTGGCTTACCAGTGCTTGAGGCACTGGATTCCATCCTAAGCACCACATAAATGTAAAATAAAGATATTGTGTTCACTTAAAACTAAAAAATAAATATTTTTAAAAATAAAAAATTAAAAAGCCACACCAAAAAAAAATACATCATAAACTGCTGAAAACCAAGAAAAGGAGAAAAACATGAAAGCAGCCAGAAAAATATTACATTACCAATAAAGAACAATGATTTAAATAACTGGATTCTTTTTTTTTTTAATCAGAAATCATGGAACCAGAAACTGTAGGCTAACAATTTAAAGTACAGGGAAATAAAAACTGACCACCTAGGACTCATATATATCCAGTAAAAATCTCCTTCAGTAATAAAGTCAAAATGAAGACATTCTCAGATGAATGAAAACAGATTCTGTAGCCACCAAATCTACTCAAAAGAAATGCTGAAGGAAGTTCTTCAGGATGAAAAGGAAATCATACCAGAAAAATAACTGGACCTTCAGGAGTGAAGGAAGAGCAAAAGAAATAGTATCTAAGCAAAAATAATAGATTACCTTTTTCCTTTTTTTAATTTTTTTTAGTTGTCAATGGATCATTTTTGTTTTATTTATTTATATGTGGTGCTGAGGATCAAACCCAGGGTGTCACATATGCCAGGCAAGCGCTCTACCACTGAGCCACAACTCCAGCCCCCACCTTTTGTTTTTTTAACTACATGAGTTTTAAAGCAAAAATTATAACATTGCCTTTTGGGGTCTTCAGTGTATGTAGTTGTATTAAGTCGTGTTTAACCCAA